AGTCCGGACTAGAACCAGGAAGTACCATCACATTAGTCCGGACTAGAACCAGGAAGTACCATCACATTAGTCCAGACTAGAACCAGGAAGTACCATCACATTAGTCCAGACTAGAACCAGGAAGTACCATCACATTAGTCCAGACTAGAACCAGGAAGTACCATCACATTAGTCCGGACTAGAACCAGGAAGTACCATCACATTAGTCCGGACTAGAACCAGGAAGTACCATCACATTAGTCCTGACTAGAACCAGGAAGTACCATCACATTAGTCCTGACTAGAACCAGGAAGTACCATCACATTAGTCCTGACTAGAACCAGGAAGTACCATCACATTAGTCCAGACTAGAACCAGGAAGTACCATCACATTAGTCCTGACTACAACCAGGAAGTACCATCACATTAGTCCAGACTAGAACCAGGAAGTACCATCACATTAGTCCAGACTAGAACCAGGAAGTACCATCACATTAGTCCAGACTAGAACCAGGAAGTACCATCACATTAGTCCTGACTAGAACCAGGAAGTACCATCACATTTGTCCTGGTCTCAGGTCTCTGTCCTGTGGCTCAGAGTCTTACAAGTCTCTCCATGGTCCACACCAAAATACATCTGTGACATGTTAGAGCCATATCAGCCAAATCTGAGGAGCACAGGGACCTGCTGGGACTATGTTTTCTAGAATGTACCTACAGCTCCATCACAAATAAACGTTCCTATTGCACTAAGTATTGTTCAGCTCCATCATTGGCAGCACCTCCACCAGCCCCGTTAAAAACACGTTTTTAACTGTTTTATCAATGGAAGAATCTGAAGTATTTGTGTCTTTTTTCCCCTGAATCTCTCACTGTCCAGTTACAACTTCCTCAAAACTTCCAACATGTGCAGAGTTGTAGCAGTGACTTGTTCAAACCGGTCGGTAAATCTCTCTTTGATAAACGGACTGTGGACACGGAGACATGGATCTGCAGAGATTAACAAAAGCAGAAGTCACGAGGCCGTTGGTCTTTCCATTGGTCGAGATCCACCGGATTTGATCACTGCCTCTTACGGACACAATGTTTTGAACTTCCATTTGTTGCATGTGTGTAAATTTAAACAACAGGGAAAGACTTGATTTACCAACCATTTAAAAACTATATAATAAAGTCCTGAAGAAATAAGGGGAGGAGAGCAAGTGATGTACGGAGGTGTAGGGCATAGACACTTTCTAACCAACATACCTTCACTTTCACAGTATTGGCAGTTTTAAAATGGCCGCAGGGGCAAGAAAATGGGTCAGCACTAGATCATATACGGCAGCCATTCCCAAACTCAGTAACACCGAGGCCCCCTTAAAAATCTGACGGGTCTGCGTGGCCCCCCCAAAATAATAACCAAGAAGACAACATTAAGAATAGGCTCTTCTGGTTATTTTATTTTGGGGAAATAGCCTCTGCTACAAACATTGTAATACAAAAATGATTACAGTGGATTATTCAAGTCAAATAATGAACACAAATATTTTAATATTACAAACAAAACATTATAAATGTAACATTAAATAATTATATTATTTTTTTTATGACCTCCCGCGGCCCCCCTGCAGTACCCTCGCGGCCCACCAGGGGGCCGCGGACCCCACTTTGGGAGACACTGATATACGGAATCGGAAGTAAATATAACAAACTACCTATTAATGCCTAAACTTAACCAGCCATTCCCATAAAATAACCCCAACCCAGCCTTAACCCTAACCTTAACCATCTTACTCAGACGCCTAAAACTTAACCAGTCACCATTTAAGGACTTATTAGTCTAAAAATAATTTGTAAGTAGGAGTGTTACTTCCGGTTTCGTCTCGATTTCATATATGATCTAGTGCCGACCCAAGAAAATGTCAACGAGAAACTTCGGAGTAGACCGCTTCGTGCTTCGAAGGGACCGAAGGAAAAGCAGTTTGGGCTCGTGGCTCAGAACCCACTGGTGTAGGGTCAGAGAGTGTTTGGGCCTCTGTCTTGTGTAATGGAGACAGTGGAGTTAAGTATTTCATTTGGAAGTTTTTCTTTTAATAACTAAAAGTCCCAAAGCCTCAAACCAATCCAGCATTTATTACATCATCAGAAAATCATTCAAATCAAGACTCATTCTACTCAGAACCTGTTGATGGTCCTCTACTCAGAACCTGTTGATGGTCCTCTACTCAGAACCTGTTGATGGTCCTCTACTCAGAACCTGTTGATGGTCCTCTACTCAGAACCTGTTGATGGTCCTCTACTCAGAACCTGTTGATGGTCCTCTACTCAGAACCTGTTGATGGTCCTCTACTCAGAACCTGTTGATGGTCCTCTACTCAGAACCTGTTGATGGTCCTCTACTCAGAACCTGTTGATGGTCCTCTACTCAGAACCTGTTGATGGTCCTCTACTCAGAACCTGTTGATGGTCCTCCACTCAGAACCTGTTGATGGTCCTCTATCGTAGAACCTGTTGATGGTCCTCTATCGTAGAACCTGTTGATGGTCCTCTACTCAGAACCTGTTGATGGTCCTCTACTCAGAACCTGTTGATGGTCCTCTACTCAGAACCTGTTGATGATCCTCTACTCAGAACCTGTTGATGATCCTCTACTCAGAACCTGTTGATGGTCCTCCACTCAGAACCTGTTGATGATCCTCTACTCAGAACCTGTTGATGGTCCTCTACTCAGAACCTGTTGATGGTCCTCTACTCAGAACCTGTTGATGATCCTCTACTCAGAACCTGTTGATGGTCCTCTATCGTAGAACCTGTTGATGGTCCTCTATCGTAGAACCTGTTGATGATTTTAAGTCCCAACTAAAGACACATTTGTTTGGACAGTCTTTCTCACACCATTGTTCATAGGCCTCTGTGAATGTAAACTGTGTTTTCTGTGTTTGTTTTATCTGACTTGTGTGTGTATTTTGTATTTTAATGTGTGAAGCGCTTTGTGACCCTGGTCTGTGAAAGGCGCTATACAAATAAACTTTACTTACTTAAGACGGTGGACCCTCAACTAGAAACAAAACCCAAATACAGCTTTACAAAGTGTACAGTGCAAGTGACGGAGACAAATGGCAAAATGTTAAAACCAGTGACAGTTATAATTATACAGTAAAAAATAAAATATGAAGTGAGTTTTACAGTAGAATCCCTCCACCACCTGTGCCTCTACATGCTGTGTCGAACCAGGAAGTGACATCATCAATTAAAGAAACCATTCAAACAGTGGGAAACCAGAGAATCACAATCTACACATCTATGTTTTAGTCATATTTGGGTTTTTAGCTGTAATATCGTCTTCTTCGTCATCCATGATTTTGGCGGCAAAATTGCAGAGTGCTTTAACCATAAAAACTCTTTTGGACGGATCTAAGTCTCTTCATACAAAAAATCACACAGTCCCTACTACAGTATACAAAAGTACTGCATACTTTACTACTTCATGTTTGAGACTTAAAATTTTCTTTTAACAGGACGAAACATGTGGTAATTAAAATCTGAGTCTTAATAAAATTATCTTCAAAGTCGTACTAGTATTTAACTGTAAACTCTCGGCACGCTGGGTCGTCATTTCCACTCGATTGGTAAGAAAATTATTAGATAAAAACCGCATCTTCTAAAAAAGGCACTGTTGGTTTTACTGCAGAGAAAACCTGAGGTCGGCAATAATTAAATTAAAACGTCCAAAGTAAGGCCCTTACTGCTGTTTTGTGGCCCTGTCCTGTGCTAATACCAAGTAGCCATTGAGGTACTTCCACAGTGTCAAGCAGCCAACTTCAGCCCCACCCACATAGTCATGCTAAACCTTATAAAGCTAAGAATCTATGGGATATTTGTATACACTTAGACTTAGTCAGTTTTGTGGCTAATGTCCATAAATAGCACCGATAGAGTAATCAATATGGACGTAGTTTATATATAGCCTATTTTAAACTCCAGAACAGCCCAAATTAACATAAGTGTGGGAAACTAAAGTGGTCGGTTTGCTAAAAGGTTTGGACAGCCCTGGACTATGACCTAATCAAAAGTCAAGTACGAGACTGAAAAACGGCTATTTCCAGTTAGTCAAGATAAAAGTTCAAATAATAAAATGGCTTATAAAGAGACTTTGGCTGATGCATGTATAAATATAGATATATTTAAAAACCAGTATGATTGTCTGTTTGAAGCTGAAATACCCAATTTTACAAAGCACCGGTCAAATAAAAAAAAAAAAAGTACAATTGTGATACATGTGTGTGGTAATTGTGAATGAAAAAATAACAATAAGGATGTTGATGCCAGGGCAATTGTGAAATCCAGTTTTAACTAGTCTCTATTCAGACATTTTGGCTTTGTTTAGGATCAAAAGGGAAGAGGCCTCGGGGCAGACCCAGGGGCAGACCCAGGGGCAGACCCAGGGGCAGACCCAGGGGCAGACCCAGGGCCCGTCCAATGTGGAAAGTATGGATAAAGACATGGTCATGATATTATGGTCTGTGATTGGCCAAAGTTACAAGAAAGACTATTTTATAACAAGTCCAAAAAGGAGAAACTTTCTGCCAGCTCTGTGTAAAATGGTTTCTATCTCAAGAAATCTCTATATTGAGATTTCTGGAGATTTTTTGATTTTAGCTATTTCTGGTGATTTCTGGAGATTTGAGATTTTTTTTGATTTTTTAAGATTTCTTGAGATTTCTGGAGATAGATGGAGATGGATAAATAGCTGGAAATACAGAGATGAATGAAGAGAGATCAAGAGATAAATAGCAGAATAATAAATAGAATGATAAATAGAAAGAGACAGAAAGAAAGACAGATATAGATAGTTCGATTAATAAACTGATTGAATAAGACCCCGGTTGTAGATTGTGTGTAAAAGTCGGTAAAAATGTAAATAATTCCATCGTACCAGCCCTTAAAAGTCAAATTGGGTATCTCAGCTTGAGAACGTCCACTTTATGAACAGACTTCTGTGTCGTCGGTAAACATCTAGGTCCACAGCCTCTAGTTCTTAGACTTCATGATTCCCATTGGACACGGGGAGGTTTTGGGCGAAGTCAACCGCGTCGTCGATGGTGAAGAAACCTGTGTCGTTCGGCTGATTTCCCGCAGAGAAACCCCCCCTCTCCAACGCGTCCCGGACGTTAGCGTTGCACTGCGCTAACACCACGCTAACCCCGACCTCCGCGTAGTCTTTGCGCACTTCTTTCAGCGCGTTCACTCCGGCCGTGTCCACAAACTGCACGCCGCTACAATCCAAGACCAAACACGAGGCTTTCGGATTCGCTTCCATCATCAAATTCACAGTCGCCGCTTTTTCTTTATCGTCTTTTCGTGATCCTTTAGCCTCCGCCGCTAGCTTCTTCTTGCTTTCTTTCAAACGTGCCGCCTTTTCCCGCACCGGATCGAGCCCGACGGATTTGTAAAGCGATTTTTTGAACAGGCTCTGGTTGGCGTAGTAAATGGGCGAGGTGTATCGGAAAACCGGGGCGCCGTTGTGCGTTTGGAGGTCGAGATAGTTCGCGCACACCTCGTAGTGCTCGCGGTCCGAAGCGCGCCCCAGCTGCTGCACCGGCGTCCGCTGGGTTCTCGCCAGGACGCAGAAGGCGGAGACCAGGACGCCCACCAGCAGGCCCAGCTCGGTGTTGACCAGAGCGGAGGTCGTCATGGTGACCAGCCAGATGCCGGCGTCGATGCGGTTGACGCGCCACAGCTGCGGAATGTCCAGGAACTTGCGCAGCGCTCCACGGAGGTTCACCACGATGATGACGGCCAAGACACACCTGAGAAGACGGGAGGAAGGAATGTTAAAGGGGAAATATGTACGATTGTCATGTCAAGTCATCATTAAAGGGCCCTAATCTGTCGTCATTAAAGGGCCCTAATCTGTCGTCATTAAAGGGCCCTAATCTGTCATCATTAAAGGGCCCTAATCTGTCGTCATTAAAGGGCCCTAATCTGTCGTCATTAAAGGGCCCTAATCTGTCATCATTAAAGGGCCCTAATCTGTCATCATCAAAGGGCCCTAATCTGTCATCATCAAAGGGCCCTAATCTGTTGTCATTAAAGGGCCCTAATCTGTCATCATTAAAGGGCCCTAATCTGTCATAATAATAATCTGCTCTTTTCCAATACTTCTTTAACTGATAACAATAGTTCAGAGATATTTGAATTTCTAAATTAGTTTTCCAGCCCCAAAATCTTGTTATTGTTTTCATTTCGATGTCCTCCACCGTTTCACCAATCAGAAAGTCTGTGATCCGGTTGCCAGAACTCACCATGTGGAGCTAATCTCACTGGTAAAGTACCATGTGGCGCAGAACTAAAAAAGGTCTCGTTATGATTCTCAAATCATTAACGACAAAACAAGGAATAAAACCAGGATTTCTATCTTTGTGAAAAAGGTGTTGGTTATAGATTTGTTGTTGACAAAACTCTTGTCTATTCAGCTGTTATGGTCCCAGCTGGATTCGTCTGCATATCTGGCAACCTGAGTCAGGGAGAGTGGGAGAGGCTGCAGTACCACTTTTGGCCACATTCTTACACACTGCTCCTTTAAGGACAACTCACCCTCAAATCCACTTTTTTTTGCTGATAACTGTATAAATGAGTGTCCAATAGTGTTGTCTACATATCCTGGTCATAATCTTGTCACTTTGGTGCAAATTAGTTGAAAGTTAGACTTTCTGCCTAAAACCGTCTGTGAGGCGCCATCTGCTGGCGACCTGTATTACTACATTTGAATTTTGAATCTGGCGCCAACACTGGCACAGAAGTTGGACCTGACGTCAGCAGCCCCCCGCCCAGAGCAATGTAAACGGCCCAGTCTCGTTCACGCCCCCTTTAGTCCTCCAGGCTACGCCCATTTAGAGGAAGATTTGAACAGGAAATGTGAGTGACGTAAGCTCCGAGGAGCGGGGGTGAGAACCACTTTAAGAAAAAAAAATCAAAATATCCTCTAAATTGACACATTACTCAAACAAATACTAGTGTTTGGGAAGTCTGGGAATCTCTGCTTAGACTGCTGCCGTCGCGACTCGGCAACGGATGAAGCGAAAGAAAATGGATGGATTGATTTTAAATTTTTGAAAGGATATGAACAGAATCTGAAGATCACATGAGTAGTGAAAACTCAGTGGACTCATTGAGACACTGGCAAGTTTATTATATAGCACAGTTCACACACAAGGCAACTCCAAAAAGGCAGCCATCCATCCATTTTCTTCCCCTTAATCCATTTCTGGGTCAGGGGGGCGGCACTCTAGCCTGGCTCTGCCAGACCCTTGTAGTTCCGCCATGCTCCACCAGGGGCGTTTGGCTGAACCACATGGGTCTGGTATCGAGCCCATAGCAAACACCTTCCCCAGATTATTTTTTAATCGACCAATCAGGATTGCCGGTGTTACGTGGGGTTTTCACTGCCTTCTCAAGCTTCTCTCATGCAGCAGCGAGAGGAATCCAAGATGGCGGACGTAAAGTCCGCGAATCTTTTTAAAAAAGTAAATACGATCGAATTAAGACACGGAGGTCACTTTTAATGCAATTTGAGGCGAGATGTTGATGGTTCTATGTTGATGGTTCTATGTTGATGGTTCTATGTTGATATATGTGTGTTTTAAGAGTCAAATGTTCCTGTAAAGTTTGGTTGAAGCACTGGTTCAGTGTTCCTGTTTACAATTCAATTTATTCATCAATCTTTGCTTACCAAAATTGCTTAGATTTGGTAAACTAACATAATCTGTGCACGTTCAGACTGAGCCTTAAAAACAAGGTTTGCCCATGGGACAAATGGTTTTGCTCTGGCTTTTAACATTGCATGAGTTGTATGATCCTTTTATTTTATTTTTTTGTTTTAATGGTATTTTTATATTTATTAGTTTTAATGAAAATCAAGTCATTTTGAAAGCTCCCTGATGCTAACAGTCTCCCCTCTGTCCTGACGCTGTCACAGTCAGACTTTATTTAATCTCCACAACACAAACCTGTATCCTGGCTCCCGTCGCCAAAGCGCTCTCCCGTGTTTGCACACACACATGCACACACACACACATGCACACACACACACACACATGCACACACATGCACATGCACACACACACACATGCACACACACACACATGCACACACGCACACGCACACACACACGCACACGCACACACACATGCACACGCACACACACATGCACACACACACACGCACACATACACACACACACGCACACACACATGCACACACACACATGCACACGCACACATACACGTTTTTGTTACCTGGTGGGTCCCTTTGACAGGGCCGTTCAGAATGGGACCCATAGACATAATCTTTTTTTACCAAGACTTTAAGTAATACAAAACAGTCAATAGAAACCAAACAACTATTTTAAAGGAATTTTATTTTAGATTTTGTTTTCGAATTGCAGTGATTCTATTTTTGACATAGAATTTAATGCCACTCCATGTCCGATGTCTAAGGTCATCTGGTGAGGCATTAATGCAGGCCAGGCCAGGCCAGGCCAGGCAGTGAGACTTCCCAGGGACCTTTCCAGTCTGTATGAAAGGTGTCATGGTCTTCTCCACAGCCTTCACCTCAGATGCAGACCATGGCTTTCTTACACGTTCTAGGGAGAGAAATAAAAATATATTAGCAATATACACTCCCAGGGTGAGGACCAAGCAGCCTGGCTGTAATCCCCCACCTGGTACACTTACCAGAAGGGGCACTGCCACTACCATGGGGTGCATCTGGATGAATGGTTGAAGGTTCTCCGCTTGAAGTTTCTTTTAGCCCGTCCGTTTGTGAGAGGATCTCTACTGCTCTCCCTGTCGCACAGAAAATAAAAATACAAGTGGCCTTTAGGGGAAAAAAATCATACATATTTTAATAATATCAAGAATTACCTTCAGGCTCAATTTGTATCTGGTCGAGGCTCTTTCCTTCGAATTCCGTCACTCTTCCCTGCTCCATGGCCATCAACACTTTGCTGATTTTGGCCAGCTCCAGTGTCCCCTCTGGTAGTCTGTAATATTGCCTGTGGATGCGAATGTCATGGCCGAGGAAGTTGGCAAGTATGTCCATCTCATTCTCTTTCATATTGAGAACTGTAGACATAGTAGCTATGTGCTTTCTAAGTTTGGTTGAGGATAGCATCTCTGGATGCACCGCACCACATTCTTTGGCTACCTGGCGTAGGGAGTCTGATCCCCTGATGTGGGTGTCTGCGCCCGGGCGGGAAAAGAAGTATGGGTTATGGTCAGAGATGGAACAGGCCCTTCTGTTCTCCACCAGCACCTCCATCGAAGCAATCATTTCAGGAGTCAAAAGAACCGGCACTTTCCGACTTCTTTTCCCTTTAATTTCAATGCGTTGAAAATGCTGACACAGCTTTTTCTCAAGTTGGGACAGTCCCAGAGCAATGTCAGAATGGATCCCAGTCTTACTTCTTAAGGTAAAGGCTGTCAGTGGCATCTTTGAAACCTCACCTTCCCTTCTTCGATTGAAAATGATGACCTCACAAAGAGTCAAAACTGCCAGTTTAGACCAATGCTTAGACGTTGGCTCACTTATTAGGGTTTGCACATATTCAGGTCGACATACCTCAATATGTGCATGCATGGCTCTAACGTCCTCAGTCAGAGGGAGCAGGTCCGGAGTGTTCCACTTGGCTTGCCGGAGGGTCTGTAGGGCAGCAGAAGAAACACAGACGTCCCACCTCTTCTCAAAAAGCAGCCGGCTTCGTTGGAGGTTTTTAATAAATAGTTCATCAACACAATGCTCCATTTTTGAGTCACATTCAAGAATATCTGCTAGCTTTCTGAGGCTATGGCCGAGTTTGAGGGCCAAGGATGGAGTCTTGTATTGATTTGTTTCCTCATCATATCCAGCCACAGACCTGACTGCATCAATCACATGGTTAAAGTTGGAAGGAATAAAGAAATCCTTAATTGTTTTCAGTTTCCCTGCGGTTTTTGCTTCGTTAATTAACCTACCGACTTCTCTCATTTTCTGCCTAATGTAATCATGCTTTGTCTTATCATGCCCGTGTTTTAAGTACAGGTGCTCTCCGAGTCTCAGAATCCCCTTTTCTGCTTTGACAACACCTGTGACCTCATCCTGATGCATTGCCGAAATTAAAGACCACAGCTTTTTGCTGATGCCCTCCGGTACAGGCTGGGCTAGGGAGCAGAGGGACTGGACCCTACTTCTACCTGGTTTAGCCTGGGCATCTTTCTGTGAAAGCCGGCACCTGGCCACATGCCTCCACAGCGACTTTCGCTTAAGCAATGCCCCACAGTCTATACAGTGCAAAAACTCACTGGATTTAACTGGGGAATTTGGCTGTTTAGCTGGGACTAAAGTTCCAATGCCGGCCTTTAAAACCTCAAAATTGTGCTCACGGTTTCCACTATTCCTGATCAAATCAAACTGAAGTTTACGTGCTTTAGATTTCACAGGTAGAGCCAATGCTCTGGCTACGTCACTTTCATTTCCATGTTTTCTAGTCAAATGACGGGACATTTTGTGGCAGGACATTGAACAGTAGAGGCAGAAGTGTCTCTTGCTGTAAACTCGCCCCCCATTTTTCTTCTTTTGCAGCTGCATGATAACAATCTTATTTGCCTTTGGTTCGTCACTTTCCGAGTCTTGAAGAAAAGTGTTTTTGATTTTTCTTTTTCCATACTTTTTTACAGGTTTCTTCTTGACAGTTAAATCGTCAGAATCTGAGTCGACTTCATCAATTAGGGACTCTTGACTAAGCTGCACAAACAACAAATAATTTGTAATCATTCTATATAACAATTTGAAGTCATGACTTGTAGTCAGCACTTACCAGTGGTTTGTAAGCGTGCGCTTCAGTGTGCTCCTCCATGATTTCTTGCAGCCTAATGAACCACACACTTGCACCTTTTTCTAGCCTGACACCTGATTTCCTCTGTTGTGCTGCTCCATGATTGGCTCCAGCCTGCTGGACTGAAATTGCCCCAGTGTGCCCCTCCTTGATATCCCGCAACCCACCACCAGGGTTCCGACACATAACACACTTTTTTCAGGAAAGTAAACCTCCAGGGGTCCTTTCCATATTTTTACAGAGACTGCATAAGGACCGTTAGAAAAGCATTACCCATTGATTATTAAGCTTGGACCAGTGGGGTCCGGTGTTCGGGCCCCACCACGTAAAACCAGTCCCCATGACGTGAGTGGAATCTCAGGTTATGGAACCCACCAGGAGTTGAAAACAAGTGCACACATACACACACACACACACACGCACACACACACACACACACATGCACACATACACACACACACACACACACACACACACACACGCACACACACACATGCACATGCACACATACACACACACACACACACACACACCTGTCCGTGCACATGCACACGTGTCCCACTGAAGGTTGCACTTTGGGGAAAGACACACACATTGCTCTGATACAAACGCGATCCGTGCTCGAGCTGTTAGCTACAGTAGCTGTTAGCTACTGTAGCTAACAGCTACAGTAGCTAACAGCTACAGTAGCTGTTAGCTACAGAAGCAGGATGTAAACAGGAAGAAACGGAAACTTAACTCGACCCCCGAGGTAGTCGCTGAAGTTAGCATTAGCGCCACCAGCTGGACCCAGCATTGTACTACGAGCTGGATGAGGCTTTTGTAACAGACTTTCTCTGTTATAACATTTGTATTTTGAGTAATCAGTTTTAAAAATGTGATATTTCATGTAAGTAATGCATGTGTTTAATACGATTGATATATTTGCTGTGGCCCTTGTTTGTGCGTTTTAAGTTATTTTGAAGGTGCATTGTGTCTCTGTAAGTGAAGTTATTAGAAAACTGTTAAGCTGCATTTTCACTGTTTACAACGGCGGGGCCATCTCGTTTACAAGCATGTTTTAAGGCTCATTTCCTGTCACACTTCTGCTCCATGGGGATTTAGATTAAACTAAGGAAAATCTATTTCTTTGTCAGTTGTAGTTTGTTCTTAAAGTGAAACAAATAGATTAAAATCAAAAGCTTTTATCACCTCATATTTCATCATTTTTTGCAGTGCACAATTCCACACTTACTTCTGCAGTGAGTAAAACAAGGGGGCGATGACCAGAAGTACCAGCAGCAGGACCAGAGCCGAGACCAGACCCGAGACCTGAGTCTGGCACCCGGTGGACTCCTTCACCAGGGTCTTGGTGAGCGCGGCGCTGGTGGTGAAGCAGCGGAAGAAGGCGGGCAGGATGTTGCAGAAGCCGATGGCGTACATCTCCTGGTTGGCGTCCACCGTGTAGCCGTGCTTCTTGGCGAACATCTCAGACAAAGACACGGTGATGGCGAACCCCACGATGGCGATGGAGAAGGCGTCCACCGCAATGTTTGGGATGAGCGACCAGAGGGGCAGCTGCGGCGGCATGAAGCCCGTGGGGATAGTCCCGGCCACGCCCGAGTCGTACTCTGTGTTGAAGTGACCGAAGTGAGACGCCACGGTGGCTATGATCACCACGAAGAGCTCGAACGGGATCGGAGCCTGCGGAGAAGATGAGAAACTGATCAAACTGAACCGAGGGATTTTATATTTACCCTTTATTATACACTGTGGATATTTCTGTGTCTGATTTGAAGGTTTTAAGGTTTTTAACTCATTGACTGCCATTGACGCATTTGTCTGAGACCCTCTTTTCCTCTGGGGATTACAGGACAATAAAAACAGCTAAAAACAAACTTATTTTTGCTGATGAAAGTAGACAATCCAGTCGTTCAGAATCTGGTTTCATATTTCACATAGTCTTAGGAAGTAATATTCTGTGAGTCTTGAGAATCAGTGAAATCCTCAAAAACGACTGGCAGCCAATTTAATAACTTGTATGATTTTATTCTCTATGTTTTTAATATTTCTTATGATTTTAAAGATGCAGTTCATGATTTATTCGGACGCAATTTTTGAAACACTGTGGGAAAAACGTCCCTAAACCCCAAAAGTGCTGAAGTTATCATGTAACTAGTTAATTATCAAAAACAGATAAGTGCCAAGGCTTACATTTGACCCTTTACCAAGTCATTTCAAAAGCCAGACATAGTTTAGCCTCACACGTATAAAGTTTTACCCCTTATTGAGCAAATTCTTTCAAATGTCCAGCCAATTTCTAAACATGTTGAATATTGTGGCTACAGAAATACAACAAAATTAGCAAAATTCAAAAGGGACATATCTGTTTTATGCCTGTAGCCTCAATAAATAAATCGTAAATATTTTGGAGCCGATAGAATGAAACCAATGGGATGCATTAACGACCCCCCACCTTTTTATAATGAAGTTCTGGAATATGTATTTAGAAATATAAAAAGCCGAACCCCATGGACAAGAGAGATGTGCGATCTTTAAGACAAAAATTAAAACTTTACTTACTTTGTTGAAACATTTGCTGAACCAGAACTGACCCAAAGAAAATATTGGTCTATTTTATGGTTTCCAAAAGTCTCGGAAATGAGATTTAATCACTGCTAAAACCAGAATTGAAGCTGGAGACTCAAATGTGCAGGTTTTTCAAAAGACATTTAAAAGGAGCTACTGGACAATGCTAATCATTGTAGCTGAAGTTAAAACATTAAAAGTTCAAACTCTCAGGTAATAGAGCATGTTTTCCGGTTTTTGGCTTTTTCACTGGTCTCTAGCTTTGATTCTGGTTTCAGCAAAGATTAATATCTGATTTCCAAGACTTTAGACAACCCTAAAATAGACAGATACATTCTTGGAAAAGTGCTGATTCAGCGAATATTGAACCCATCCAACCAGAGTCATTACTGTCTAACCCTGTCACTCTGATAGGGTTCGTTACATCATTCATGGGATTCCTGAAAGACCATAAAGGATTTCCAAGATGAGTCTGAGTAAACTGGACTGAACTATGAGACTCTGTAATTACACAGGTACTGCCGTCAGACCACACCTTTGTTTCTATTCAGATGAGATTGAATGAAAGAGGTGTGTGTGTGCGTGTGTGTGTGTGTCAGACCTACAAACTAGTGGCAACTCATTCTCTGCATTTTCTGAGGCATGGCTAATGGAAGTTGTTACGCACGGTTCAATAAATTCAAGTTGTGAGAAAAGAAACCAACTCGTGCACAACTGGTCTACAAGGTTTTTCTTCAATCTTCAAGGGTCAGCTCGTTGTGGTGTCAAATATGTTATCAACATATTGTAGATCTGTATAAACTAGGCCAGAGTATCCCTAAAGAACTGACTTGTAAAATATGTGTATACACGGCCCTTCAACACTACGTCATTCATTCATAGATAACCTGTGATGTTTCAGAGAGCTGCTCCCACACACGTTCATATACAGTACGTTTTCATGGGACTTCCTTTGTCATCAGAAAATAAGTGGAAGATATTTCCATTCAAAAATATGTTGAGCATATTGTTACATCAGTATGCAGAGGTCAGAAACTTTCCACTTGGTGTTTTGGTATCTGAAGATCAAAGCAAACGTGTCGATTGCCGACGTTCTCAGGTCTCTGCTTCCTGTGGCTCAGAACCGAGAAAAGAGAGTCACAAGCAGCTGTTTCAAGTCTCTCCACTGCCTCCACATGACACATGTTAGTGCAATATGAACAAACTCTGAGGAGCACAGGGACTGGCCTCCTGCTGGGACTCTGAGGAGCACAGGGACTGGCCTCCTGCTGGGACTCTGAGGAGCACAGGGACTGGCCTCCTGCTGGGACTCTGAGGAGCACAGGGACTGGCCTCCTGCTGGGACTCTGAGGAGCACAGGGACTGGCCTCCTGCTGGGACTCTGAGGAGCACAGGGACTGGCCTCCTGCTGGGACTCTGAGGAGCACAGGGACTGGCCTCCTGCTGGGACTAAACATGGGGACGAAGACATTAGCCGCGCAAATGTGCAAAATCCCACAGATGTATTTGCATGATTTTAATTTTCAGTGTCTGTTTTGATTTTAAATGTATTGACTTTGGCTGGTGAAGAATTCTGCTTTATAATTAATTTAGATTGTGTATTGTTGCAGGGAATTAAACCATGCAAACGCTGTGAAATCTCTGGTCATGCTGCATTTCTTCATACATGTGTCTTGAATTGCACATCACCATAGCAACAGTGTTATTCTGAAACCCAAAGATAAAGCCAAAAAGAAGAGAAAATATGATAAATTCTGCCCCACGCACTTTGAGCTTGCTCTTGAAGCGGTCATTGATCTCCTTGGTGGGGATGAGCACGGCGAGGCAGACCAGGCTGGTGACCAGGTCGCAGATGTTGGTCTGACCCAGGTGAGAGAAGATGGCCGCCCACGTCTTGAAGAGCGTGAACCAGCCCTGAGCCCGCGGGATCCTCAGCCCCAGGAGGTACTTGATCTGAGACGTGAGGATGGTGAGGGAGGCTCCGGTGGCGAACCCGCTCAGGAGAGAGTCCGACAGATACACGGAGACGAAGCCCACCTGGAAGATCCCCATCAGCACCTGCACCAAACAGGTCAACACAGAAGAGTTAAAGTCAATGTGGGTCTCCCCGAGGTCTTTCACTTTTTCCCACTGGGTTTTAGAGTTTTTCCTCTGATGCAGGAGTCTGTTACAGTTAGTGTCTAAGAAGAAGGACTGTGATGATCCAGGACACTTTAACATTCTACAACAGTCATGGACATTGGTCTCTCTATGATCCAGTACTGTACCATGTGTTCTCTCTGTGTGTTAACTGTTGATTCTCTGATCTGTGTTGGTCATTTCAATGGTTTTGTTAAGTCTCTGAGATGATGCTGTTGTCATTTAGAGAAATATAAGAACAAATTGTATTGTATCGTATCATACAGTAAGTCCAGGGAGTCACATTTGGCGTAGATAGAATCACTCAGATTGTGCAAAAGATAGGTTAAAAAGGTTAAAAATATAGTCTGTGCAGGATGTAATTCATTCATTGCCAACCCCTTTATAAGTCCATTTGTGGGTCTGTCTGAGAGCTGCCACCCAATTCTCAAAGCACCAGTCCCTCTGATCCTCTGCAGGGGGTGGGTCCACGGGAAGATGGCTGCTAGATCAGTGGTGCCACAGCCTCGGTCTTTCAGCGGGAAACATCAAGTGGAAGTGTCTTGCCCAAGGATACAACGACAGCACACATTAGTGAGAGCAGTTGGAGTAGGCTCATGATGGACTCGAACCCACGATCTTCCGACCCAAAGGCCAATGCTCTTCCAACTGAGCTCCTGTCGCCCCGGGGTTATAATTATGTTTTATCCTACGTGGATCAATAAAGTACTATCTATCTATCTATACTATAATAATGAAAGCCCTCATGATAGTACCTATCTAAAACGCAAAAAAGTCCTCAAAATGTAATTTAAAAACAGGAAACCGAACCCCACGAACAAGACTGATGTGTGAACTTTTAGAAGAAAATTATAACATTACTTTCTTGGTTTAAAAATGTGCAAAAACCAGAACTGACCCGAGAACATATTGGTCTATTTTAGGGTTGTCAAAAGTCTCAGGCATGAGATATTAATCATTTCTAAATCCAGTATCGAAGCTCGAGACTAAAATCTGCAAGTTTTTCAAAAGACAGTCAATATGATGGTAACGTAAAGGTTCATATATATCCGAAACAAACAGCTGAAATGACTAATTATTGTCATTATTTTGTTATTTTCACTTTCTCGATTGAAACTTTTTCTTTTGAAACTCAAGACAATCCCAAAATAGACTTCACACTTCACTCTTGCTCACAGGGTTCGGTTTCCTGTTCTTACATTTTGAGAGATCGCTGAATATTGGAGAGGGCCGAACACAAAACTTGGACGGACTGGACTAAAAACGCATCAGATTTTAACATATTTTTGTTGAATTTCACTAAGAAGTTCCTTAAGATGTGATATTATACTGCCACTAGCCTTAATTTTGAACTAAATCATTTCAAATAACACTAAAATCCTTCTGTAATGTGTAAACAAAGGAAGTAGCTTTGACTGTGCACAGATAAACTCACTAAAGTCTTAGAATGATCAGTTCTTAGAATGATCAGTTTCCCGTGCTGTTATTGTTCTGATTATAATAAAGATTTAATTGACGAATAAAAAATGGTCAAAGGTTGAGACTAACTTTATTATGTCTGAGATTAAGCTGAAATCTTCTGAGGTCAATGTCGACACATAATCACAGTCATACACCACACAAACTGGAGACTCTTTTCTTTTAAATAGTTTTTATGCAGTCTTTGAAACAGAGAGGAGGCTGTTTCAATGGGATTTAGCTTAAAAACACAATCAACTAGTTTGGATTCATCAGTAGATTTTTCAGCTTCTTCACACGGAAAAAGTTCAAAGACAAGGCCTCCCTCAGTCCTGTCAATCAAAGCGTCCGATACTGACTCAAAAGACACTAATATATTATGTTTTCTACTCAATTAAAGACTAAGAATATTGTGCTCTGATTTCTGTTGGGACTAACCGTCTCTCTGCTGCTTTCAAAAACCTGAGGCTTATACACAAGCGCGGCTTATATGTGGACAAGATTGGTTATCTTTTGTAGTGTCTGTGGTTGGGCTTATAGACAAGTGCATCTTAAAGTCCAGAAAGTACAAATCTGGACCAGGTTTTCAGAGGAGGATACTCTATGTTAACCTTTGTTTACTTAAATCTTGCTTTTTCCATTATGCTAATATTGGAGATTTTATACTAGTTTCTTTATTATGCCAAAGCTAGAGATTTTATACTAGCTTCTTTATTATGCTAAAGCTAGAGATTTGATACTAGCTTCTTTATTATGCTAAAGCTAGAGATTTTACACTAGCTTCTTTATTATGCTAAAGTAAGACATTTTAATTCTTTCATTCCTACTGTTCTGTAACTGCTGATGCAACACTGAAATTTCCCCTCTGTGGGACAAACAAAAGCTCTTAATCTTAAACGTAAAAAGTTCATTTTGTCTTCTTATGTTTTAGGCTTTGAAGGTTCTTTTAATGAGACAAGAAAGTGAAGAAAGCTTGTCTTGCTTAATCACCTGTGTGCCGCCAAAACATGTTGGGTAATTAAACAGTACTAGCTTCTTTACTTTCTTGTTTTATTAAAAGAACCTTCAAAAGGCTCTTAATCTTACCTGATAAACTCCGGCTGTGAAGGTAACCGTAGCTCCCACCGTGATGGCGTAGCAGCTCCGGTCGCACACAGCTCCCGCGCTCGAGTTTGCGATTAGCTCCGAGAACAAGTCGCTGCTTGTGTTCACCCTGCTGCTGCTGCTGCTGCTGCTGAGTTCTGGAGGGTACCCCGCCAACGCCAGCTCCCGCTCCACCACCTGTCCCATGAGCAAGCACAGCACCGCAAATATCCCGACGGAGGTGTGCCGCGACGTGCCCAGAATGGCGTAGATGAAGGAGGCGAAGAAGGACGTGTAGAGGCCGTAAATGGGGTCCTGACTGGCCAGGAGCGAGTAGGCAATGGACTGAGGAACCAGCAGGATTCCCACGATCAGCCCGGACATGAGGTCTCCCAGGATCCAGTCTCTGAGCTGGTAGCGAGGGAGCCATCTCAGGATCGGTATGAAGCCCAGGATTTTGGATCTGACCTTCTGAGGGGTGCATGAGCAGTGGCTTTTGGCGTGTTTGCAGAGAAGGGTTTTGAAGTTTTGCGGCGGGGGTTTGTCGGCGCGCTCCAGGACGAGGGGGCGGTGAGGGTGGGACTCTTCGGCCGCGGCGGCGTGGTGGTGGTGGTGGCGCTCCTCCGCAGGCATCGTCCCAGTTATTCTGCAAAAAAAAACAGGAAGTGAGACTTGTCAGCAACCACGGTTTTGGTTAAACAGTCAAATAGTGAGGCAAGTGTGATCAAGAAAACAACAAAACAAGAATAATGTTTTCTACCAGAACAATGTCAGAGAAGAGGCCTGTCTCACATTTTCAGGAAGTCTGTTCCAGAGTTTAGCTGGATACATTTGAAATACTGCCTCTCCATGTTTAGTCCTGACTCTGGGATCAGCAGGATCCCAGAGTCCCTGTGCTCCTCAGAGTCCCAACAGGAGGCCAGTCCCTGTGCTCTTGAGAGTTGCTTATATGGCATTGACAAGTCTTGGATGTACCTTGGTGTGGACCATGGAGAGACTTGTAACAAACTGAGCTGCTTTAAAGACCTTATGACGGGGTTGATTTATTTAGAAATACAGTTTTAATACCATTTTATATTAGAAGAGAACTACTAAAGGTTTCAAAATCAGTTGTTGTTTTTTGTCTGATCCCCCCAAATCGAAATAACCCCATAGCAACGCCCTTAGAGACGAAAAAACTTCACAGCCCTTGGTGACGTCAGAGTGGGTACGTTTCAACGCTGTAAGTTGTTTACAATTTGGTATTCGTTCTTTTTTCGCGGATATTCAAGATGACAAGGCCGTGTACAGCGAGTATGAGATAAATACTAGATTGTAACACTTCATTGTCACTGAGATAGTCCAGTGGTTGTGTCGATGGACTGCCAATCCAGATACTTGGGTTCAAATCCCACCTCGGACACTTTTTTACTCTCAAAACGGCAATTTATGTGTAGTGAGCAATTGTCACCTGTAGAGGGCAGTATTGTGTTGGCATCAGTGGAGAGAAGAGAGAAAAGTCAGTCCTGTGGCATAGATCCATGGTTTTCAATGCATGGGCGTAACCCGCTGTGACGTCACACACAGGTTAGAGCATAGACAGCTTAAATTCATGAAAAACACGTTCTTTTTATAAAATATAGGATTTTTTTTGCCAGAATCTCTTTCAAATTGACATTGTCATGCAATTTTAATATCCACTATTTTTTTTTTAAACCCGTCATAAGTGAAGCCATTAAAGTGTTTTCTCTGAGCCACAGGTGCAGAGACCTGAGACCAGGACTAATGCGATATAATATTTACAGAATGCGTCCCAGTCATTATGTCTTGGTGATGCCTGTAGAAGTCTGTAGAAATTCCGGAAGAAGCTAATAAGAGAACGCTCAAACAGGTTCCATGGGTTGAGCCAAATCTGTGGATAGCAACGACCAAGTAACCAAAGAGCCAATCAGGAGCGGGGTTGGTCTCTCCCCACTCTCTGTGCGCTCTAGCTAAAGTCAAATTCGGGTAAAGAGGGATTCTGATTGGGCAGTTGATAAATCTCATTTCTGGATTTACAAATACAGCATAAACATTTTTAAGGTAAATAGGAGGATTTTCTACGTCTGGGTCGATCTTCAAGACAATTGGTACACCAGTTTTTTCAGAGGGCTGACCCTTCTTAAAAAAATTAATCCTTCTATATACCTTTAAGTTACAAAGCTAACTTTCAATGTAAGGGAATGGAGCCAAATCGAGCTGGAAAAAAATATTGCCCATAAGCCTCTCCCTGTTAGGCTTCACAGAGCTAGCTTGTTAGCGCCGAAGCTTGTCATACAGTCTGTGGGTTTTACACTCTATCCAAGCATCCATTCATTTGCTCCACAGTCTAAGTTCAGACGCCCAGACTTCTCTCTCGGGGGAATCCTGAGGCGTTCCCAGGTCAGGGGAGAGACAGTCCTTCTAGTGTCTCCTGGATCTCCCCTCTGGCCTTCCATCCCCAAGAGCAAGGGTCTCCAACCTTCTTCAATTGGAGCGCTACTTTTATACAACAGTGGTTATGATAAAAATCTATATACTAATGACAAGAGAGAACACATATGGAGAGCACATGTAAAATATACTGTAATACGGTGCAACCCTATATTCATATGTATAATAGATATGAAAAATGTATTCATTCAGGATCATCTGCTTCAGAAACCCAGAGCAAAGAGTAATACTAAGAGGAGATGTGTATCAGTCAAAGGAGTTGATCTATGGAACAGTCTATCTGTTCAACTTAAGGGCTCAAGAACTATTAAAACATTCAAAAAAAAGTATAAGTCAAATATTATGGAGAAGTATAGGACAATTGAATTGGACTATGCTTAATAACTCGTGTTTATGGGAGTTCATGTTAGTAAGTAAGTAAGTTAGTTTTTATTTATGTACCGCCTTTTCACTGCAGATCTGAGTCTCAAAGCGGTTGTTTTGTTTGTTTGTTATTTTTAGGCATTTGTCTCTCACTCCACACAGAGATGGGAGCGGGGCCAGTACAGGAGCCACATGCCAGACCTATAGTACATATTTTTAGTGGTAGGGGAAACCGGAGTACCCGGAGGAAACCTACGCAGACACAGGGAGAACATGCAAACTCCACTCAGAAAGGCCCTGGTCCGACTGGGATTCGAACCCAGGACATTCTTGCTGAGAGGCAAGAGTGCTATCCACTCAGCCACCGTGCTGAGTTTGAATGTTTTGTGCTTCATGTTACCATCGTTGGTACATGAGAATCTGTATGTTGTGTCATTTACAATTTTGATCATGTATAACATAATTTTGATTTGTTCAAGTGCAAGTTTTTGGTGCTTCATGTTGCCGTCGTTAGTATATGAGAAACTGTATAATTTGTCATCTTTGGACGTATTTTCACATTGTATTAGGGGTTAGGCAGTATAAGTTTCGACTTCAGCCTAAACCCTTTTGGTCAGGTATTGTTACGCACAAGGTCCTTTATGGACACATTTTGGTTCTTTTTTTTTCATTTTATTTTTATTTTCTTGTTGTAAAAAGTAAATGTGAGCTCTGTATCCGTGTGACCCGAGGTCGGGTGTACATATTGACCGAAGAAAAAAATAAACTAACTAACTAAACTAACTATGTGTTTGATTCTAAATCCTTTGGGGAGCTACCTGAAAGGGGCTGCGAGCTAGTGGTAGCTCCCAGGCCACAGGTAGGAGACCCCTGTCCTAGAGCTCAGAAAAGCAGGTAAGTTCTCTGTATTACTTCAGTAGTAGTAATATTGAGTCTGTATTAATAAAGTGCCCTTCACAGACCAGAGTCATTAAGCACTCTTTAGATTTGTGATTGTAAAATGTACAATAACTATTTTCTGCAAAGTCAACTGTCAAAAGTGAAGCCAAAATGAACGACAGCCCAGTTTCTATTGACCGTGAGGATCAAAACAACAGCAGCAGGACGGTCCATGATTTATGTAAGTTTAAATATAGCAGCCCCATTACAAACATACCACAATAACCAATGTCATGTGTTACGTCGGGTCATCTTTACCATTTCAGTCAAAGTTTTCTCTACTCAGGGTGTATCAAGTTGCAGATAAGATTACTTTGTTGTCCAGCTGACCCCAGAACGGCTGAAGAGAATCAATAACATCCAACGCTGACTTTGTGGAGCAAGAGCGGGGGATCTTTAGTATTATCTCATGCACAGTGTAGTCCGTAAGGTGGGAGTATAATGGGGTCAGTAAAGGTGGGAGTATAACGGGGTCAGTAAAGGTGGGAGTATAACGGGGTCAGTAAAGGTGGGAGTATAACGGGGTCAGTAAAGGTGGGAGTATAACGGGGATCTGGGGACAGGGAGAATTAGCACTTAATGTATGAGCTGCATCAGCTGTAAGTCTGACTGAGGCTGTAGACCCAGGACTGAGGCTGTAGATCCAGGACTGAGGCTGTAGATCCAGGACTGAGGCTGTAGACCCAGGACTGAGGCTGTAGACCCAGGACTGAGGCTGTAGACCCAGGACTGAGGCTGTAGACCCAGGACTGAGGCTGTAGACCCAGGACTGAGGCTGTAGATCCAGGACTGAGGCTGTAGACCCAGGACTGAGGCTGTAGATCCAGGACTGAGGCTGTAGATCCAGGACTGAGGCTGTAGATCCAGGACTGAGGCTGTAGATCCAGGACTGAGGCTGTAGATCCAGGACTGAGGCTGTAGACCCAGGACTGAGGCTGTAGACCCAGGACTGAGGCTGTAGATCCAGGACTGAGGCTGTAGATCCAGGACTGAGGCTGTAGATCCAGGACTGAGGCTGTAGACCCAGGACTGAGGCTGTAGATCCAGGACTGAGGCTGTAGATCCAGGACTGAGGCTGTAGATCCAGGACTGAGGCTGTAGTTCCAGGACTGAGGCTGTAGATCCGCTTTACATGTCATTATTCATATCACTCCAAACACGGTGGTGATAAACTACTACTGTAGCCACAGCTGCCCTGGGGCACACTGACAGAAGCGAGGCAACCAGTCTGTGCCAGCGGCCCCTCCCACCACCACCAACCATTCACACACACACCAGACTCATTCTAATGTGGGGGAAGTGTCTTGCCCAAGGACACCACAACAGCAGACAGTGGGAGTCGATGGTGAAAGTTGGGCTCGAACCCACGACCCTCTGACTAAAAGGCCAATGCTCTACCAACTGAGCTACTGTCGCCCTCTAGACCTAGGACTCGGGCTCTAGATCCAGGACTCGGGCTCTAGATCCAGGACTCGGGCTCTAGATCCAGGACTCGGGCTCTAGATCCAGGACTCGGGCTCTAGATCCAGGACTCGGGCTCTAGATCCAGGACTCGGGCTCTAGATCCAGGACTCGGGCTCTAGATCCAGGACTCGGGCTCTAGATCCAGGACTCGGGCTCTAGAACCAGGACTCGGGCTCTAGATCCAGGACTCGGGCTCTAGAACCAGGACTCGGGCTCTAGAACCAGGACTCGGGCTCTAGATCCAGGACTCGGGCTCTAGATCCAGGACTCCAGAACTGTCTCTATCTATTTCCATTATTGATGAAAGTAGATAACGGACATGCATTGGATTGTGAAAACACTGGAGCCTAAAAGGTTAAGTCTCCAAAAAGGTAAACTTATTATTGAGCACGTCTTGCTTAAAGCCACAGACAGACGACTGGACTGAGGTTTATCTTATCTGCGAATGAAAGCCATTAAAGGATTTGTAGCTCAACTGCCGTTTGGTTACTGTGCCAAAAGAATCAACTTCATCATCAGTTTTTTTAATCCCAACACAAACACGTGTATAATGAGAACAGGAAAGTCAATAAAAATCCTTTAATGATCGAGGACTAAGTGTTCCAGCCACGTAGGACCTTCTTCAGGACTCGGATCACAAGTTACCTATGAGTTTATGGATTTCTACGGCTTTAATAGAGAGATAGAAATGACGTATACGTTTGAAAAGACTGATTTTTAAGGTTTAGTTCTATTTCTATTTATTTATTTGTTCCTTTCATGAAAATGCTTTGTTCACATGTTCACATATTAATAATTACATTCATAATTTCAACATTTACATGAAGGAAAGGAGCAGAAAAGAAGAATACAATTCTTATGTTTTTCTGCCCCTTTTCAAAATCATATCAACCCTGGGCTTTCACATGGTACCTGTTTCACCAACAAACATTTTTTAAACTAAAAAAAACATTTACATATGTTTTGATGCAAATGCATTTGCAACAAATTTGCATTTAAACAAATACATCCAATTACTCAAGAGCTTCATATGATTCAATCATTTTTACTATATACAACTTTTTAAATTGAGAGATATTTTGACAACGTTTTGATTCATTTTCCTGAGCATTCCACAGTTTGACACCTTTGACCGATAAACACATTTGTTTTAATGTTGTTCGTGCAAACTGGTGTTTAAAGTCAAACCTTCTCCTGGAGTTTTCATTTTCTGACGTAACAGTAAACAGTGATTGTATATTTTCTGGTAGTGCTGCATTTCTAGCTTTAAACATGACTAATAATGTCTGTAATTCTATTATATTTTTAAATTTCAACAATTTGGACCTAATGAATAGTGAGTTTGTATGTTCTCGAAATGCAGCTCTGTGTATTATACGGACAGCTCTTTTATGTACAGTAGTAAGGATAACGACTTTATACTGCTTTCATAAGTGTTACCCCACACTTCTACACAGTAAGTAAAATAAGGCAAAATCATAGAACAATATAACATTCGCAATATGTGGACGGGTAACATGTATTTAGATTTGTTCAAAATAAATACGCTTTTTGATAGTTTGAAGTCATTTATCTAGAGAAAAAATATACTTGAATAGATATAGGTTGAAGTCAATTAATTAGGTTTTAAAGTTCTACTGTTTTGCATTTGACATGTATATATGTGCAGCTACTTGTTTTCTTTGGTGCATGGGAAGAACTTTGGGAAGAAATCTGACATTACCATTGACATTAAGTGTACGTGAACTACCTCTATAGAATATCTTAAATCACAGCTATATCCTTCGTACCTTTGCTCCTTCTATATAACTTTAGTAAGAGAGTAGAGCAAGGCATAACACTTAGGTCACCAACAACTTACCCTGGTTGGTTTAGTCCAACTTTATACTTTAGACTACACCGATACTAATGAATGAACACGAGATAGTACCTTTTATGATGTGTATCAAAGTTCTGTGCCATCTTTAAGAAGAATATTAAAACTTTACTTACTTTGTTGAAACATTTGCAGAACCAGAACTGACCTCAAGAAAATATTGGTCTATTTTATGGTTTCCTAAAGTCTCCGAAATGAAATATAAACTATTGCTAAAACCAGATGAGAAGCTGCTGGGCTACTATTCCTGCATAATCTTAGAACACCAACATTTTACCCAAGTTTTTTTAGTCCAACTTTAAAGAGAATTGGCTTTGCTTCAGACTTTACAGCTTCACTGATGGGCTCTAGTCCGGATTTTTTCTGGATCTGAGTTTCCACCCCTTGTTTCTGGATTCAATATGTTTGTTTGGAGTTTATTTTTATTTTTGTGTGACTTATTTAGACAGAATTTAACCCTTATTATTAGTAATACTTTCAGAGTGAGTGTGTGCTCTTTGCTTAGGTCCTGCCAGCTCTGCACTGCCACATAAGCACAAACACATGTCATGAATGGACACCTTTGTAAACACGGCGTAAGTAACGTAGACTTAAAAAGCGTGAAAAGTCAGATAAAACGCGGTAAATTCACGTGACTAACAGAGTAAATATGTTCGTACAGATAACACCGAAACCCAAAACGCTTACCTGAGCCCGGAGCAGCCGCGGGGAAACTTAAATCCACTGCTTTACTGAGCAAACTTCTTCATGTCAGAGACGGAGCTGCTGCTGCGTGGTGACGTCAGCGTGACCGCTTCCTGGTTCATGTTTCGATCGATAAAAATAAATAAATAAAAATAAAAATAAAAAATAAATATATATTAATATAGAGTTAATATAGATGAACAATTATGTCCAGTAAAAGCTAATTAATTTATCAGTTCAAATGTTTTTGTAGTTTTTTTAAATTTTTTCGTCATTTTTATTTATTTATTTACAACTTATAACAATGGCCAATCTACGACGTTTCATGTCAAAATCGCTGTCCTTTTACTTGTTTGCAGTTTACATAAAATCGGATAAATTGACTAGAGATATCAAAGTTTTGTTACCACATAATTTTATCAGCTAAACTAGGTCCTATATTTACAAAAAATAAGTTCATTCACAATTTCCTCCTGATTTTCAATGACTCTTTATCTTTTGTAAAGTATTTTGGGGGTTCTGTGGATTCCTTTCTTTTCCTTGCTCAGAATGTTCCAAGTTGCCCTGATGTTATGTTTGTTTTCATAAAGAATTCTAGAGTAGTATTCCTTTTTGGCATTCCTCAATATCATATGTTTCAGTCCGGCTTTAGACCCCACCACAGCACTGAGAGTGCTCTTGTTAAGGTTACAAACGATATCCGGCTGAACACTGACGCAGGCAAAGTCTCAATCTTAATCTTGTTAGATCTGAGTGCTGCCTTTGACACTGTCGACCATGAGATCCTCTTACAGAGATTAGAGGACTGGGTTGGAGTCGCTGGCACCGCCCTAAGTTGGTTTAGGTCTTACCTTGAAGACAGGAAGTACTTTGTGGAGATTGGAAACTGTGTCTCAGATCATATGGCCCTGACCTGTGGAGTACCACAGGGGTCGATCCTGGGACCTCTTCTGTTCAATCTCTACATGCTGCCGTTAGGTCAGTTAATACGCAGAAACGAAGTTTCCTATCATAACTATGCAGACGACACTCAGATCTATGTCTCACTGACTGCAGGAGAACATGGACAAGTGGACTCACTCCTTCACTGTATCCAACAGATCAGTGAGTGGATGCAAAACAACTTCCTTCAGCTAAACGCAGACAAAACTGAAATGATTGTCTTTGGTCCCCAGAAACAAAGAGAGAGCGTCATCTGTCACCTACAGTCTCTCTCCCTAAAACCTTCAAACAAGGTCAGAAATCTAGGGGTAATACTGGACTCAGACTTAAATTTTAATAGCCACATCAAATCAGTAACATCAGCAGCTTTTTACCATCTAAAAAACATTGCCAGGATCAAAAACATAGTGTCTAAAGCAGACCTGGAGATTCTTATCCATGCATTTGTCTCCAGTAGGTTAGACTACTGCAGTGGCCTGCTCACAGGTCTGTCCAAACAGGCTGTAAAACAGCTGCAGTACATTCAAAATGCAGCAGCTCGAGTCCTGACAAGAACCAGGAAGTACGACCACATTAGTCCAGTTCTCAGGTCTCTGCACTGGCTTCCTGTGGCTCAGAGAATAGACTTTAAAACAGCTCTGCTTGTGTACAAGTCTCTCCATGGCCTCGCACCAAAATATATTAGTGACATGTTAGTCCCATATGAACCAGCCCGGACTCTGAGGAGCACAGGGACTGGACTCCTGTTAGTGCCCAGAGTCAGAACTAAACATGGGGAGGCTGCTTTTCAGATTCATGCTGCTAAAATCTGGAACAGTCTTCCTGAAGATGTGAGACAGGCCTCCTCTCTGACAATGTTTAAAACCAGGTTAAAGACAGTTCTGTTTAGCTGTGCATACAACTGAGGGATTTTATATTTGTATCTTTCTTTTTAATGTTCTGTGATTATTTATGATTTTAATGCTTTCTTGTTTTGTTCAGCACTTTGAATTGCCTTGTGTATGAATTGTGCTATATAAATAAACTTGCCTTGCCTATCATGGGTGTCAAAGTCAAGGCCCGGGGGCCAGATCCGGCCCGCGAGACAATTTTTAGTGGCCCCTAAAATTATTTATTATTGATGGTAATGGGTGACCAAGGCAGGTTATACATCATCTAATTTCTCAAGAAAACAACCAAATGTAATGTATTCTAACATTTTAACCCAATAACATATTAATAGAAGTTAAAGGAGCAATATGTAAAAATCTGGCCTAAAGTGGTACTGCAGTCACAGTCAATATTTTGTAGTCCTCTCCCTCTCTCCCTGACTCAGGTTGCCAGATTCACACCAAATCCAGCAGCAAACACAGGGAATTATTTTATCAGTTGTTTGTCCGTCTCCATTCACATTGCCATGACAGCCGTGCTAATGCTGAATGAATGTTTTGATTAATGTTTTCTTATTATTATTTGGACATTTGAGATAAAAAACAAAAACAAAATAAAATCAATGTAATTATACATAGTTTATGCAAAATAAATAAGCAATTGATGTCCAAAATAGGAGTGGGAAGAATGGATGTTGGAACGTATTTCTTCAGCGTATCAACATCAGGGTTTGCTCAAGAGGATATCACCTTTCAATTTTATTTATTCCCTATTTTTTAGACAAACATGTAAAAGTTCCACATCAAAAAGAGACTAACATTATTTTAATTGGGGTACATGTGGTCTTAAATGATTATTTTTACAATTAAGCTATAATCTACAAAAAAACGTCTTGACCTTCATCTTTTACCGTTTTTAGAGCAATCTGTCATAGAATGTGATAACATGCAATAAATACAAAAAGACATAGCCCGGGATCAAACCCGGGTTCCTGCATCGTAAGCGCACAGTTTAGACCACTAGACCACCGATTCACACGAACAGAGACACTGTGAAGAACGGACTCAAACTAGAAAATTCTGCATCACACGTGAACTTTTATCAGCTGTCTCACTTGTTCAAAGGCATCCCGATATAAATCCTCGTTTTAGTCTTTGTTTTGTCATTAATGATTTGAGAGTCATAACAAGACCTTTTTTAGTTCTGCGCCACATGTTATTTTACCACTGAGATTAATGAGCCGCGCGGAGTTCTGGCAACCCGATCACGGACTTACATGGGACTTCCTGATTGGCGAAACGGCGGAGGGTAGGACATCAAAATCAAAACAATAACAACTTTTACGGGTCGTAAAACTAATTTTGATAATCAAATATCTCGGCTGAACTACTGTTATCAGTTAAAGATTAATTCGAAAAGAGTATGATTTAATAACGCCTTTTGAAATATTCGGGTCATTTAATGATGACTTGAAATGCAAATATTACATATTGCTCCTTTAAAAAGTTCAATATAAAATGTGTTTACTTTTTAGTTGATCCAGTTTTGGTTCAATCTAAACAATAAACACATTTTGTTTTCAGAAAAATAAACCAGAAAATAACAGTTAAACTCATGTCACTTTAAAGTCATGTTAAAAGATCTTCATAATGTAAAAAACTATGATAAGAAACTGAAATCTCTTACAACGTCCTTGAAATAAGAATTGTTTGCTTGTCCCATTGACAAATGTTGTTTTGAGAAAATGTCCTTGAATCAAGATAAAAAAATAAAAACATGCTACAGCTGGAACCACTTTACTGATCGACAACATGACAGTGATGCGAGCACAGATCCAGGTGTGTGGCACTACTGTACTCATGCGTCAGTAATTGCAGTAGTAGTAATTATGAGTAGTAAAAACATGACCTTAATACGACAATTTTACGTAGGAGTAACACGCTTTATGTACTGTTGAGAGTGTAATAGAGTTTTATGACAAATACAACTGCTACTGTATGTCTTTGTTTAGTGTTTGCGTTTTTAAGGGCTTTCATCAATAGCAAGAGCGTGTAGATACACTGCAAAAAGTAAATTCTAAGCAAGTAAAAAAAATAAATGAGAAAAAAAACTTAAACTTAAAAACTTAAAAACTATAAAATGAAAAAAATATCTTGTCTAGCAAAATGTCCTGGAGAATAAAAATTCTAGCTTTTCCTTAGTAGGAAAAATGTGCTTAAAAAGTAAAATTTGGATCCAAAACAAGAAACAATTACTTGGTTAGGCTCCTCTTTCTTGATTCAAGAAAAAATAAGAAAACAAGAAATCTTGAAATAAGAAAAAAGATATATTCCATTGAATTCAATGTAGTTCCACTTCATTGTATTTGTGTATCGTCCAAAACCACAGCAACAGTTGCCGAGGAGGATTTAACTCAAAAGTCATTATAACTTTTTCTTACTAAATAAACACAATATGTACATGTTCACCACAAGTTGTTCTAGTTGGATCAATCCAAAGTTATGATGTTACACAAACCAAATGACATCCTGTTAGTCCCACATCTTCACATGGTGTCAAGTCGACACAATTAATTATTGCTATAGAAACGCATTTGTTTTCGGTGGAAATTATGTCCATAATTTTATTACGTTAATTTAACAAATAATTATTTTGAGTGTAGAATCACACACGTCGAACACAGGAAATGCAATAATAACAAACACATGGAGCCATATAAGGAGCAGGACGACCACTGTCCAGAAATGTTCATAAATGTCCTTAAATGTCCCAGATCATCTCTGGGACATAAATGTCCCTCCTGCATCAGAGGAACCACAGAAACCCACCTGTGACACTGACACTTCAATTTGGAGAGACGAGAAACAGGAAGTTTTGAGTATTTTATTGAAAGGAGGTTTGGCGCCCTAGGTCCCGGTGCGGCCTTCGGATCGGAAAGGCTCCTGCGATGAGCGCGCACAATCCCCCGGGACCTAGGCACTGGTGGCGGCATTTGGCAGCGGGAAGAAAATTGAGCAGATGGAGGCAGGGTGAAGAGGAGGAGGAGGGGAGGCGGTGGTTGCGAGGCTTCAAGAGGCCGGTAGTGGGAGTTTTCTCAGTTTTTATGCGGCTGGCGAGTCGGTACAGATGATTGGAAGGGGGCGTCTGCAGAGCGGTAGGCTGGGGATGAGAGCCGCCTGGAGGGGGTAATTTTGGTTAACGTCTACCAAATTGAACTTTCGCTGGCTGCATTTCAATTTGGAGAGACGAGAAACAGGAAGTTTTGAGTATTTTATTGAAAGGAGGTTTGGCGCCCTAGGTCCCGGTGCGG